ATTATTAGTGTTCTAGGATTAATTTCTATTGACATATCTGCTTAAGACTTATAAAGTGTTTGCTCACTAAGTAGTATCTTACATTTTTGGATCGTTATTGGATGTGTCATTTCGTCTGCCAGTGAAATGTGTTAAGCATAAAAAAGGTCATACAGTGGAAGAATAGCCAACGTACTTTCTAGCTGGGTTTTATACTGCTGCTTTGAATGGTATGCTGGACTTAGCACATCAGATAACTTAAACTTTATTACACTTGTGACTAACTTCATTTGATAACTGATTTTGAGAAAATGTTCGGAAGTGTGAATAGGTTCTCCGCCCCTCTACTGTAATGAATGCAGTGCTTAGGTTTGTTTTTATTTCTTGCTAATAATTTTTATAGTAGATGATCATCAGCTCCACACTAAGTTAGATTCTGCAGCTCTGTACCTTCAGCCACTGACACAAACCAAGAGTCTGTTTAAGATAATTTCCCGAGCTGGATCTCAAGTACTGGCACTTAGGAGCTATTTGTTTATCTTCGAATGAACTGAGAGCTGCTGGAAGATACTGAACTGGTCAATGCAATCAGCACTGCAGATCAGCAGTGCTGAACAATGCTTCCAATAGCGCTGTTTTAATTGGCCCAGGTGTCTAAAACCTGCAGATGTCATGTTGAGGCCCGCTTTATCACGATTTGCTATCCGAGTGGCTCAGTTCCCTGGGGATGTGAATGCTGGTAGCTGTGTAATGTATATATGTCCTTCCAAAGGAGGACCTCTTCATCATGCAGTCTGGCAGTGTTTTTGTAGAGATCTGGTGATTTCCCCTTGTGGGGGTGGTAGAAATAAAAAGTCCAGAAATCTGAGGGGTTTTTCTCTATCAGGGCAAGTAATGGAAGCTATTTCCAGTCCCAGGTCGTATAATTTTGTACCTGAACACTGATGCTAAGCAAGAATGATGTTATGATCCAAGTACTGTATTAAAAAGGGAGGGAGTTATGTTTTTCTATTTTCTGAAGTCTGAGTGAACTGCAATGGGAGTTTAGTTGGCTTTCTGACAACTGCTTGTCATTATTAATATTTCTATGACCAATTTTATGATTAATATTGTTCTGGGTCTTGATTACATGTGACTCCCTGAAAAAAAATAAATCCCTGCTGCTGAATGCTAACAGATCCCATCCCTTTATAAACTCTGGAGGAATACAAAGGGAATAAAAAAATGTTTGCTTGCCTCTTTTTTTCTTTTTTTTTTTTTTCTTCTTGGGCTGCTGCCATGTTCAACATCAGCTAGCACTTCTGCTTTGTCTTCTTTCTGTCACATCAGCATAGCAACTGAGTAGGCAAACATGACTGGAAGCCAGGGAAATATGGTAATGTGGGATGGTGGCAAAAGATTTATCAGACCTCTTTTTCCCCAGCTGGGTTGTTTAAGGTTACAGCAGGAGCTTCTAAATACTAGGGAGGAAAAACTGTTAAGGATGCAGGATTTGATTAAATCACTTACCAGACTAGCTGTGAGGGTGATGCCTGATTCTGTCCTGAACTCCAGATCAGGACCTACAAGGACACTGAGTCTTTCAGGGTGGTGTGAAGACAGATTATTAGGGTCTTGTTGCTTAAAGTCAGAGTTGAAAGGGAAGGCGTCCTGGTGGTTAGAGCATTGGCAAGCAATGACCCAAGATGTACAAGCCTTTTTCCTCTTGTAAGACACCTTGTGTGCAGGGGTGGGGGTGGGTGAGTGTAAAAGTTCTTGGGGGAGAGAGAGCAATTAGTACACCTATCTGTAGAAAGCTCTCTAGGGTGACTAAAGGGAAAGCAGTTAATTGATAATGGTGGATCCAGGATGCATTTGCAATATGCAAAGCAGTCTACACCAGTGTTTCATTTCCTTGCAGACTACAAAGAGCCTTTAACTGTTTTATGTCCACATCTCTAGATCTGTTCATAAAAATATGCCTTTAAACTCAGATTTTGTATGAACTCACTTGCTAGCTTATTGACATAAAGATCTACTCTCCCTTGCCCTTTGTATGTTTCCTGTGTTGATGTGATCCCTACCTTAAAAAAGGCACTAGCTGCATATAAACATACACAAGATGCTTTAAAATAACAGGGCCTTAAAAAGAAATTATTTTGTGAGATTGTGATGTTGGATGGATTTAACTGCTGTGAAGTTGTGCTGCTGTTCCTGGTGCCTGCCCAGGATGCTGGCTGTGGAAACGTTGGGTGCTATTTCCAAGTAGCTTTAACTGGCTGCTTGTGAGACAGTGCAGTAGCAACTATTCACCTGCCTGATGTTCTGCTGAAAGGGCATGGCTGTGACATGCTCCTGCGCTGGACTAAGACTTGAGTTATTACTTTGTTTGTATGGCAGTATGTGGTGTGCTGGGACTCTGACCTTGAGTGCTAGCCCACTCTTCTAGAGGGTCAGAACTCATAGTGGCAAAGGTTTTTTAAGAGAGCTGGAGTGTATGTCTCTACAAGACCTTATCTAGCTCTTGAATTGAAAGATTTACTTTAAACTGCCTTGCATTAGCACAGAAAAGCCTCAGGCACTAAAAGTCTGAGACCTGAAGTACTTTGGCTGTAGGGTATACTGTAATATCCAGAAATCTTTTTAAGTGCAAGTATTAATAGATAGCAAATTGAGAGTGCCTACAGCCCCTCCTGGGAAGAGTATGTGTATTTCTAACTCTTACTGAGCTAGGAGTATAAATCACACCATGTATAAAGGAGTGTGGTTCCATGAGATGATGGAGCCGAGCTTGTCACATCTGAAAGGGGACAGTCGCTTTCCTTTCTTTGGAGCTTCTTTCCCCCTTGGCCATGGCTGGTTAGTGTTATACTATTTCAGTGACTATGTATCTGAATGAGAAGATCTTAAGGAGAGCACCTTGGTGGAGTGAATGAATTATTCAAACTATATTCAGCAGTTCAGATGTAAAAAGATTGATTTTCTTTTTCTTTGTGTTTCTGAATATATTATGGTTGTTTCATTATCACTAGATGTCTGTTAAGTACTTTCTGTTCCTCCATTTGCTTATGGTAGGCAGCTACTCCTGAATAAATTAGGAGAGGCAATATAGAGAGTGTAGGATTATGTTGGCATGTGATTGTTGACTCACTTTCCAAAGAAAGAATAGGCTCAATTGTATAATGCTTTTTTTTTTTCTTCATTCTAGTACATCAGTTCACTCTGTTATGTTTTTTTTATTGCAGCCTGCTTAGTTTGTAGAACAAGTGACTCCTTTGAATGTCAAAGCTGACTTATTTTGTAGCATCACAGAGTAAAAAGTGCCCTTTTTTATGAACTCTGATAACTTGAACACTGACTATTAGAAAAAGTACTGTCTATACACAGTATGGTGAAACACTAAAACAGCGGTGAAGTTCTTGTACACAGGTGTGTGTGTTAGGTGTGTTTCTCTACACCCCCTCCATTCAAACAGTGTGGTCAGAATGCAAATAAAGAGAAATCATCACTTCAGAGGGGAGGTGGGGGGTGTGGCTCACGCAATGCTTACAGGGCAATACTAGCAGATGGCCACTGTACTGAATTTCAGACCATATTTAAGACTTTCATGGGCCATGCTCTCATGTTAAGAGTAAAATATTTGGGTGGGGAAGTGTAGAGTAAACATTGAGGAAACTATTCCATATTTTTTTTTATATTTGTAGTAAGAAGTTTTCTGACCTGTAAAAAAAGGAGCCACAAAGAAGAGGGGGAAATGATTGCAAAACCTGCAGTCCATAGAACAAGAAATGACGGGGTTACAGTTCTGCAAGGAAGGTCTAAATTAGGTGCTGGGAGAGTTGAACATTGGGATAGGTTGCACGAGGAGGCATGAGAAGACAATTTTCCAGGCTGTGTAGTATTGTTTTAAAGATAAACATGGCCACAGTGGTTACAACTGGAGTAGAGGCAGCAGAGGTAGGACTGACTCGGGGCACGTGAGTACCCTCTTTAGGAAAAATCCTCAGAAGATTCCTTTGAAATAAATCAGGATTGAGGAAGCTCAGATAGCTAGTGGGTGATTCTGAGAAGTTTCATCTTTTGAGTAGGCTGAAACTGTGGTGAGTTTATTGCGGTAAAACTAAGTTTTCAATCATATTGATATAAATTTTTTTTTTTTATTTTGAAATTCTCCATAATACTTGCCAACTCTAGAAACACTACATTAGGGCAGGAGTTGTTGATGATAACAAAACAATTTTGCTATGAATTTGACAGATTGTCTCTGTCTTCTGGGTGTCCCAGATATCCTCCTTGATATCTGGAGTAGTGTGTCCAGTTTTGGGCTCCCCAGTACAAGAGAGAAATGGAGCTAGTGGAGGGTGGCCAGCAAAGGGCCACTAAGATGATGAAGGAGCACCTCTCTTATGAGGAAAGGCTGAGAGGGCTGGGACTATCAAGCCTGGAGAACAGAAGGCTCGGGGGACCGCATCAGTGTGTACAAATACCTGAAGTGGATAAGTGGGACAGAGCCAACCTCTCTTCAGTTGTACCCAGTGCCAGGACCAGAGGCAGTGGACACAAACTGTAACGCGGGAGGGTCCCTCTGAACATTTTACTGTAAGGGTGACTAAGCATTGGCACAGGTTGCCCGGAGAGATGGTGGAGTCTCCCTTGGAGACATTCAAAAGCTGTCTGGACACAGCCCTGGGCAGCTGGCTCTAGGTGGCCCTGGTTGAGCAGGGGGTTGGACTGAATGACCTCCAGAGGTCCCTGCCAACCTCAGTTGTTCTGTGATGCTGTTTCTCAAAATCAGATTAGTAGCATTTACAATAGAACTGCTTAAGCACTTGACTTCAATATGAAGTCGTATCCCTCCCTTTTGTTCTTGATGTTGTCACTGAAAACTTCATACATCAGCACCCTAAACAAGCTACATCTTTCCTCTGTTGCTCAGAATCAGTGAAAGTATATTAAAAATTTTGTACTTAAGACACCTAGTAGGCACAATGACACGGCTCCAGCATTCCCTCTGCAGAACAGAATGTACCCTTCCTTTCCAGGTGGTCGGAGGCAAAGTAAAGAAACCAGGCAAGCGAGGTCGTAAACCAGCCAAAATAGACTTGAAGGCAAAGCTTGAAAGAAGTCGTCAGAGTGCAAGGGAGTGCAGAGCCAGGAAGAAGCTGAGGTACCAGTACCTGGAAGAGCTGGTTTCAAGCAGAGAGCGAGCCATCTGCGCTCTCAGAGAAGAGCTTGAAATGGTAAGAAACTATAACTTAACCTAACTCTCAATATTATTTGAGATCTGTCCTTGTGGGCATTTCTTCTTGAAATCACTGTGACTGAGAGTGGGATTTGGCTAGCCATAAGGTATCAAAACATCAGTAACAGATGCACTCAGCTGTTTGCTGATTTTGTGTGTTGAACATGAACCTCATGTCACAAGTTAACTGATGGTTTTGAACGGGAAGCAAGCAAAGAAAGGGCCATTGCATATAAGTCTGTTGTCTTTGAAATGTTTGTTTCGAAAAACCTCTGACAGAGGTTAGGAAGAGGTAGAGGGTGGAAAGAGATGTCTTAAAATGTCAAGGGGGACATGTATCCAAAGTGTGTCATTGCTTCCCACAGACCTTTGTCTCTGTTGGGGAGGTTGATTCTTGCAGGATACTCTCATCTACGTGTGTAGATGGTTGCGCAGCTGTCCTGTGTTTACAGCACATTGAAGACGGGTGTCTTGGTCAAATATGCTGCATTAACTGAAGAGGATGTTTCATCTGGAAATACAGACTCAGCTTCTCAGTAATACTGAGTTGCTATTGAAATGTCACTGGAACTGAGCATATTTCCTTGACCTTGCCTTAGGTTTATTTGAACAGGCAGGGCTAATCATGACAAGTGAATAGGGTTAGGATTGGGTGAAAAGTCAGCCAACACAGGTTTTCCTCTGTGCTTCAGGGTTTGCTAGTGAAGAATTTAAGATGAGGGAAGCAGGAGAAAGGCACGTGTGCCATAACTGTGCCTTGCACAATCAGAACTCACCTCTTAATAGTCAGTCAGCCCCAGAGTCATGTGAAATATTTGTTTTTAATAGGCCATGAACTGGAACGGTATTCTGGCATGCCAGCAGCAAGAAAATGCACAAAGTGTTCCATGTTGTTTAATAATTACAGTATTGTGTCTAGTACTGCTACTGAGTAGCAGTTTATTGACTGAAACAGGATTTACTGAGGCCAGGTATGCAACCATGGGCACGTGCTTAGCTCGTTAGTGCTCTGCAGTTTTGTAAGAGGCTTCAGCCCAGTAAATTAAAAGCTTAAGTGAATATACTGGAAGGTAAGGATTACAGCTCTGTTTTGTCTGCTAATGTGATCCTGGCAGTTTGCTAGCACCTAATATGCTTGCATGTTTTAGTACAAGCAGTGGTGCATGGCGATGGACCAAGGGAAAATCCCCTCTGAAATAAAAGCCCTGCTAACTGGAGAGGAGCAGGGCAAAGCACAGCAGAACTCAGCCAAACTTGCCAAGGCAGTGAAGACAGAAGCAAACAGCAGCAATCCCTGTAAGTATCCAGCCTATGATTAATTCCTATTTTGTTACATCTTTTGTGGCGTAGGAGGATGGCTGTGGTGTAGGAAGAAACATAAGGATGTGCTTTTGGGCACAAATAGTTGATTGAAGCAAAATGCTTAGTGAGTGGTACAGACTCTGTGTAATATTTACATGGACTACACAGAAATTACACTAGCTAGGAAGTTGGGCAGTTATTTTAAAAAGAAGACTCAATCTTTGTGTTTCACCAAGGCCTGTGGAGGCCTGTGAAGACCCAAGACCTTGATCTTTTACAGCATTCTCTGTTTTCCTAATGCAAGGTAAATAGAGCACATAAAATTTAATTGAATTTTAAAAACTCCATCAAGAAAACATTATTCTGTCTGCAAGCACTCAAAAGTGAGAAATGCTAGACTTGGAATTTCCTATGGAGTCTTCCTTCTGCCTCATTTGTGCTTGTCCAGGGAATGAAACAAGGTTGTTCTGGGGATTGAAATGTGAAAAGATCATGTGATATGTATTCCTGATACATACATGCAAAAGAGCAGAGTTAAGGTGTAGCACAGGCAATTCTGTGTCTCACATCTTCTAATTTCGTAATATTTCATGCTACAGGTTAAATTACATTTTGCTGTAAATTAAAAAAAAAAAGGAATGCCTAGCTTTGTTTTTAAGAAACAACGTGAAAAACCAAATTTGTAACTGTAACAATCTTCCCCCCCACGGTGCATTATTCACAGGAAGCCAATGCAGAACCTTCCGCACTGCAGCAGAGATAGCTTTGTAGCTAGCAGAAGAATGCTGTTGTCAGAGAAGTGGATGCATCCCTGGGTGCAGGGGGAAGGATCCCAGTCCGCTGTCTCCTCTTTGCTCCTCCCCACATGAAACTCTTTGGTGTTCCCAAGCCTGCATGGAGTGAGGTTTTCGGGGTAATAGGTGTTTGTGTAAGCGGAACCTTGTTCTTCCTTTCTCTACACCACCCTCCCCAATATACAGCTATGGCAGCTTTTGGGCATTCCCAATAAGAGATGGGGGCTGCTTTTGTGTCAGAGCCCAGAATTACACTGGCTTTGTGGTCAGTAGTTGGGTGGTTAGTAACCATTGTGGGAGTCTGAGAGGTTCTGTAAAATAAAAGCAAGAGGAGGATCTCATAACAGCTTCGCTAAAGCTAAATGGAGTATTGTAGGCTGAGGAGAAGGAAGTGGATCAAAAGCTTTCAGTAAGAAGGTTTATAGTAATATAATTTGTAACCTAAATAAAGATGTTGCTTTCAGCATCCTTTTATAATGCAGCATGTCTTTTATGTTATTGAGGCTCTTCAAGAGAGGTACTCCATATGTTCCCTGCTTCTGCCTATACTACTTTCACAGGATGTATTTTTTCCCCCCTCCTGTTCCTGGTAAGATGGTCAAAGCATCTCCTTCCACCCTGCTTCCAGCAGTGGAGCAACTGCCATCTCCTCCCACCTATTGTGCTCTGCTCTTTCTGTATCTGCTGACACTTTGGGCCCTAGTGTCTTTCTAGGCTGCAACTTAATATGAATTCTGCAGTGCTATCCTGGTTTCCCAGAAAAAGATAATGCCAAGGACTGGTAGCAAGGAAAACAAGTTGCATCAATTTGGTCTTAAAATAAGAGAGGCAATGGCAAACATCTTGTGGGTTGATTTACTCATCCAAGATAATGACAGATAACCTTCCACTTTCCTTAGGCTGCTCTTTCTCCAGTATATACTTTTTGTGTGTATATGATGCAATGTGGAGAGTGGAGCTCTTGGGACTTTCAGTGTGGGTTTTGCTTGCTTATTCTGTTTTGTTTATGACAATGTCTTTCTCCGTCTTTTATGAAATGCATGGAACATTTTTTAATCTTATGTTTTCTTCTTTGTATCATAGAATAAATACTATAATGAATGACTTTGCTAGACTGAATGTTGCCTTCTTTTTGTTGAACTACGTGGGTCTGTTTAGCATTATCTCAATTCAGGATTAGTCAAAACCACTGAAAATGATAAAGTGCCGTATTTCAGTGTACAGCAGAACATTATGTTCAAGTGCTTGTATATTAATCCTTAAGCATGGTTTTAAATTTATTCTCTACACCCTCTACACATGTACTTAGTAAACCCAAGCTAGAAATGTTGCATAGACACGGAAAACTATTTTGAAAGGTTAAGTAATACTGAAGCAGAGATAGGGAGGATATGACTGTCTGTCCCCC